TATAATAGGAACTCATTCGTCGCGTTATATATTCTTTGCTGTAGAAATACGGCTATAAATATACAATAAATATCGGATTTACATGATTGTAATAGCTTCATTTCAGATGTGATTTAATATTTTCTTCGAATGTATGGCGGCGCGCAGCTGGGGCTTCGTAATGTGCACTCGTAAAAACAACATAGGATGTATAAACACGTCTAATTAAGTTAGTTTTAATTACGCTCGAAGTTGATTCTTTTTTCGGGCGCGCTCCGAGCGTATGCGTTTTTGCGCATATGGCGAACTTGAGTTAATTGCTTTTGATTCGTTCATATTCAAAGTGCTTCAAAATGCATTCAAAACTGTTTAGAAATTAATTTGCAATTAGGAATACAAGTCTTTCATGTGATTTTTCAGCGCAAAAACTGTTTTGTGCTTATGTAATTTATGTTATTTTGACATTTTACTCATTTTTTGGTGATGTTTTCTTTGATTTCCTTGTTTCTCATTAAATTAATTAATTTTTTTGAAAGATTATCTTATAGTTTTTATTGCGATCTATCATTTGGTTTGAAAATGGCTTTCTTATCAGTATTACTTTCGGAGTTATAGATGATTTTGTTAGTGATTTTTATCGATTTTTTGAAATTTTTTGTTTTAACTTTAATAACATAAAAATGACAAAAGATACAAACGTGCCCTTTGGCACAATAAATCTCTAATAAATTCTTGTATTATTACAACTTGATCATGTGACGTGCGATTAAAAATGGCGGAGTTATTAAGCTTGAAACTTGAAAATTAAAAAATTTTGTAGTAAAAAAGTAATTTTTTTGATATTTTGTTCAGTTTTTTGGCAGTTTTCTGCAATTTTCTAGTTTTTCATAAAATTTATCACTTCTTTTGGAAGCCAGTCTTATAGTCCTCATTAAGATTTATGTTTCTGAACAAAAATGATTTCTTTATCAGTATTACTTCCGGAGTTATTGATGATTTTGTTAGTGATTTTTACCGATTTTTATGAAATTTTTTGTTTTAACGTCAATAACTTAAAAATGACAAAAGATACCATCGTGCCCTTTGGCACAATAAATCTTTAATAAATTCTTGTATTATTACAACTTGATCAAGTGACGTGCGATTAAAAATGGCGGAGTTATTAAGCTTGAAACTTGAAAATTAAAAAAAATTTGTAATAAAAAAGTCATTTTTTGATATTTTGTTCAGTTTTTTGCCAGTTTTCTACGATTTTCTAGTTTTTCATAAAATTTATCACTTCTTTTGGAAGCCAGTCTTATAGTCCTCATTAAGATTTATGTTTCTGAACAAAAATGATTTCCTTATCAGCATTATTTCCAAAGTTATAGATGATTTTGTCCGTTATTTTTACCGAATTTCTATTAAAATTCTTCTTTTTACTTCAACAACTTAAAAACTGCAAAAAACACATACCTTTCCTTTTGCACAGTAATTCTTTGATAAATATTTAAATTATTACAACTTAAATCATTGTTGTGCGTTAAAAACTAACAAAGTTATGAAGCCTTAAAGTTAAAAACTTACATTTTTTGAAGTAAAAATGCGCTTTTAATGTTTTGCCTTAAAACAACACATAAATAGTAACATTATATATGTTTATTGTTGGCATTGTTGTAATCCTAGATGGAATGTACGCTTGAAATCAAAAATGGTCATTTTCTGCGAGTTTTCGCCAGCGAGTTATAACAATTTTCGCATTTTTGTGGCGGAAATTTCAGATTTGCCATACCATTTAATGATTTAATGATTTTTAGCCCAGTTGCCCCACGGTTAATGAAGATGGCCGGTGTGCGTTGGGTGTTGTGGGAACAGCGCGCGCGCGCGTACACTAACTGGCCGACTAATTAAAAGCAATTTATGCAAATTCGATTAAAAACATATTTTATAGCCTTTTAAACTCCCATACGCATGAACGAATGCACAATGCGCATTAAGCATCGCCAATGCAATTGCGCGCATTATTTCGCATTCGTTTACGAGTGATTACTGCCGTTCTGGGGCCGCGCTCGTCGGCACCGTCGAAGGGCCGGGGCCAGTCCGCACCGAGCGCGCGCGATACGGTCGATTTTAATTACCACGAACGTATTGGACGTAATTTAAAATTGCCTCGGCGTGTTTATGCGCTTGGCGCGTCGGGAATGCCGGCTCGCAGCCCTTTTGCATAATATCTTGTCTTTCTCCAATCCATCAAACCCCGATGCAGCAGCATATCGGTATCGTCGTGCGCGGCGCGCGGGGCTCCTATATTGGCGAAACTTTTTTATTACTTCGGGCAATCGCAGAAAGAGCGAGTGCATCCAGCGCCGCCATTTCCATTCGGCATGCCGCGCCGCATGTGCTGGTTTTAATAATAAAAAAATCGATGAGACTCGCAGGCTCCGCCGCGCGCGGAAAACAAAGGCGAGCGCGCGGAACTCCGCCGACTTCTTCTGCGCGCGTCTGCCATTTTGCTTTTAATCATTATTATGGTAATTACGACCTATACGCCGCTGACTGCATATGATTATGGTTTTAAAAGTCGTTTAAAAACGCCACGGTTTATCGATATGTTTTTTGCTCACCGTGCGAAGATATGCGAAGAAATGCGCGCACACACAGCACCATGCAACATGCACCTGTGATGTTGACATTGTGCGTCGTCGTCGTTAATTGCGACGAATATCCGAGGACAATAACAACACGACCCACAATAACGCGCCGGCGATTATTTAATAGTAATAACCGCTAATATCAGGGAATACCGTAATTATCCAAACATTTTTATGTGTTTTAATTTAATTGTACGCGCATTTGTCGTGAACATGTGCCCGTGCAAAAGCCGTAAGACTTCCGCCCGCATTCGTACTCAACCGAAACGTCATCCGCATATTGTGAATATTTTAATAGCGGCCATTTCAATTCCTGCATTAATGGTAATTAAAAAATGGGAAAGTGCTTTTTTATCGCTGGAGTTTTTCATTAATTACTCGCAAACCAATCAAGGTATTTGAATAATTCTTTTAGCATTTGTTTTAGTTTTAAATTCTACATTAACAATGCAAATATCGTCGCGGAATAAATTTTTTATCAAAAGTTATAGGGTGTTTTAGAAAAATTTCAAGAAATGAACTTTGATTGTTTATAACTTTTTGTACAATTATTCGATTTGAACCAAATTTACCTATGTTATGTAGAATTTAATTAGGAATTTAATTGCATAAAAATTTTTTATTTCAAAAGTTACGCACTAATTTGTGTGAGTTTTTGACTTTTTTTTGACAAATTTCAACTTTGATTGTTTATAACTTTTTGTACAACATTCCGATTATTATTGAATTCACTAATATAATTTAGAATCTAATTAGGAAGATATCTACGTCAAAATTTTGTTGATCAAAATTTTATATCAAAAGTTACAGGCCAATTTGTATGATTTTTGGTCATTTTTTTGAATAAATTTCATTTTAATTGTTAATAACTTTTTATATAATAATCCAATATGCCCAATATTTTTAAATAAGATGTAGAATTTAATTCCTAATCAATATCAAAAGAGATAATAACAATATCTTTATTGGTTTTCGTGTAATTTGCATTCAAGTGACATTATACACTCTGTGTGTACAAATTCAGCCGGGCGATAATCATTTGTAATACGGTGTTAAAACATCGTCGATGCGCGCGGCCATTGTTGCGAGGTGGGGTTGCGGAGGTTAAACACGGTCATTAATAACCCCGGTTAACTAATCTGTCTGCTTGGCCCATCTATCTTTACAAGTTACTTTGCGCGCCCGAGCCTGTCCGCGACGACGAAGCCGCCCGAAGGGACGACGCAATGTGTTTTCTTATACGTCGCTTACGACTTCCACCCGATCCAATAAAGTATTAAAATTACTATTAGCGCATTGCGCGTCCACGCTCGCCGTAAATCTGCATGCGCTCCCTCGGATTTCTCCGATTTTATTGGATCGTTTAACAAGCGCATGTTATAATTACCCATCGCTGGTCGGGGCCGGTTCTTTATTATTTCACTGCGTCAGTGCTAACAAGCCCTCTGCGCTAGATTGATCGGTGTCGATTAACCGGAGCGATGAAGAAGTGCGGAGGGCCTCGAGCCCTGAAGACGGTTGATGAGCGCTAACAGCCGTTTGATTGATGTCAGGTTACTCCCCCGAAAACCTCGCGCGCGCGCTCGGCCACGGCAATCATTGCGACTATTAATTACCGAAAAACTTATACGCGCATATGTGCGTTATCAATAAGTTACCCAGGGCATCATCATCATCTCGGTGCGTGGCGTTTACACTCGATTTAATTAGATTTTTGCTTTTGATGTGTTTTATTTTTTTTCGGACTTGTTTTGTTGGTTAAAGGCGCGCTTTATCGACAAAAATCCACGCGCACCTTATAATTAAAAACGATCGTTATATACGAAGCAATTAATAATAATCAAAAAAATGTGTGTGTGTACAACCTGTTGGATCGGGATGCAGGCGAGCAACAACTCCGGACAAAAAATGTAATTAATCATTAACGGCTTACGCATTTAGATTACTTTTTTGTGCTTATAATAATTTTCGGTATTGCTACAAAAATAAAACAAAAAATCAATGTTTAATATCTCTAAACTATTAAAATTGCAATTATTCACCGATAGATGGCGTTAGTTAATATATTAAAATTTTTCTCTTACGTGTATTAATTGCTCACATTAATCATGCTTGAAATTTTTTGTTTAATTGTTTATAACTTTTTGTACAATTATCCAATTATTACCAAATTCTTCAATATGACGTAGAATTTAATTCTTAACGTAATTGCGTGAAAATTTTGTCGATAAAAATTTTATTTCAAAAGTTATGCGAATATTTGTATAATTTTTTGACATTTTTTCACAAATTTTAACTTTAATTGTTAATAACTTTTTACATAATATTCCAATATGCACCATATTTTTAAATTAGACGTAGAATTTAATAAAGAATTTAATTATGTCAAAATTTGTTGATAAAAATTTTATTTAAAAAGTTATGCTCTAATTTGTATAATTTTTTGACATTTTTTTCACAAATTTTAACTTTAATTGTTAATAACTTTTTACATAATATTTCAATATGCGCCATATTTTCAAATCAGACGTAGAATTTTATTCTTAATATAATTGCGCTTACGCATTTAGATTACTTTTTTGTGTTTATAATAATTTTCGGTATTGCTACAAAAATAAAACCACACAAAAATCCCTGTTTAATATCTCTAAACTATTAAAATTGCAATTATTCACCGATAGATGGCGTTAGTTAATAAATTAAAATTTTTTCTTACGTGTATTAATTGCTCACATTAATCACGCTTGAAATTTTTGATGAGTCGGTTAATGGAATAAACGAAAGTTAACGAGAAAAAGAAAAATATCTTTAGGGTTGTGTTACTAATCGGGCTTTTGTTACAGCTGTACGAAATCAACGACGATCCCAAACGCAAAGAGTTCCTCGACGATCTTTTCTCCTTTATGCAGAAGCGAGGTAAGTGCTCAACGTTTACATTTCGAATGTCGTCAGTCGCCACAAAAGGGGCAGCGTGCAGTTATTGTTGAAAAGTGAAACACGTTGCCGAAGTTTGCGTGCGCGTAATTGTCTCGCGAAGATGTTGGCTGCCTATGCAACACACGCACTGCTAAAACAAAACAAAACCGGTATCAATGATATTAATTTGGCGATGCGATTATTTCGATCCTAATTTTGTGAAATATTTTAGTGTGACTGCAAAACTAATAATATTGATTTGTGATTCGGGGAATTTCAGTGCTTAAGTGTAGTTAATACTGAGTGGAATGCAGGATGATATTGTTAGTTGGTGATGTTTCGGTAGCACTTTGTATGTGGAATATGAAAATGCTCATTTTAATCATCTTAATAACAGCACGATTCCTTTGGGTCACGATATAATTAGGACAATTTAGTGCCGTCCGCTCGTCCGTCGTCTATTTTCAATAAATTCCCTTCGATATGCGAATATGTTATATGTACGCCGTATGCGCGTATATCATTTATTGTTCATTACGAAATTATCCTCGCATTTCTCGTCGTAACCACACGTTTGGCGCATGAATAAGTTAGTTAATTTGCGTTTGCAGTTTTTGGAATTCCTGCCGCGCCATCGGCGTTTGATGTAACAAGTAATAAGTAAATGCAAATACAAATGCATACGAATCATATTAAAATGATTTTTAAACATAGTTAGGAGTCATATTTTGTTGCAAAACAATTGCAATGTTTTTGGGAATGTTTTAATGGATTTATTTTGAAAATTTCATAAAAATCGGTCTGTTTGATTAGGAGTTAATGAGGAACACACATACAATTAATATAATGTACTCGTACACATGTCAGGAAATGAAAATATGAAAATAAGATAATAATAAATGAATTTTCGGTTTCGAGTCACGACTTTTATTGGCAACACATCGGCCGCAGTCCGACACATCAAATACAATGTCACACGTCGTAAATTAAATCAAAAACAACTTAAAAATAAAACTGGCCGCGATCATTTTCGAAACACCAAACATTGCAGACGCTGACGAGCAAATTGCAGGGTAATTCCAACCCGTAATTATCCATATCGTCCGAATATCAAATTATAAACCAGTCGAGAGGTCTTCCATAGGCGCATGGCGCATCTTCGGCTTATTATTAAGCTATTATTGACTGGCTACCGTTTAATTTCATAGCCAAGCGCGTCGTACCTGTATCAACATGACTCGGCCGCTTTTATACGCCCTGGTTTTATTCTATTAGGCGCGATAAATATTTTCGTGGTACAAATTGAATCAAAGCTCTTTGCTGGCACGCCGCCACGCGTGAAATCCCTCTACAATGTTAGTATGTTAAATGCCGATGTTTTCAAAACACTAAGAGCATCACGAAGTGTATTAAAAACAATGCCATCTGTTGAAATAGAAATTATCGCTCGTAAAACTGCTCCAAATTGCGGGATGAAAGAAAAATACGAAATACGAAATAATTTTAGGATGCACTCGTATATAGGAATACATTTCGTGTTCGGAACAATTACGGGAACTTATTTTTTTCGGGCAGATGATGGAGTGCAGAATGTTTAATTGTTTATAACTTTTTGTACAATTATCCAATAATTACCAAATTCTCCAATATGACGCAGATTATGTTTAATTCTTAACATAACTGTGTTAAAATTTTGTAGATAAAAATTTTATTTTAAAAGTTATGGGCTAATTTGTAAATTTTATTGACATTTTTTGAAAAATTTCAACTTGAATTGTTAATAACTTTTTAAATAATATTTCAATATACACCATATTTTCACGTTAGACGTAGAATTTAATTCTTTATCAATATCAAAAGAGATAATAACAATAACTTCAATAGTTTCGGAGTTATTTGCATTTAAGTCACATTATACACTCTATATGTCCAAATTCAAACTGATAGATAGAGTCTGAAAGAGTGCAGAATGTTTAATTGTTTATAACTTTTTATACAATTATCCAATTATTACCAAATTTTCCAATATGTCGTAGAATTTAATTCTTAACATAATTGCGTTAAAATTTTGTTGATAAACATTTTATTTTAAAAGTTACGGGCTAATTTGTATAATTTTTTACATTTTTTGACAAATTCCAACTTTAATTGTTAATAACTTTTTAAATAATATTTCAATATGCACCATATTTTCAAATAAGACGTAGAATTTAATTCTTAATCAATGTCAAAAGATAATAACAATATCTTTAATAGTTTATGAGTTATTTGCATATAAGTGACATAATTCATTCTATATGTCCAAATTCAAATCGCTCCAAATTGCAGAATGAAGAAAAACACAAAATACGAAATAATTTTAGGATCCACTCATACATTTCGTGTTTGGAATAATTACGGCCACTTGTTTTTTGGGGCAGATGATGGTTTTCTTTACTAGTTAGTCCCAAATGTTAGGCGCACATTAATCGCACCAATGATTGACAGCTCCGTTCGACAATAAATTTGAAGATGCGCGCAAAAAACAGCAGGAAAACAAAAAATCCAACACGTGAACGGATATGAACGATTTGCGGCAGCCGAAATTCGGTAATTTGCTCCATTGGAAATTAATTTATGCAAGTGCAAACTTTGCGCCGCAAAGGGTCAGACATAAGTTGTTTCATATTGGATTCTTGCGCATCATCAAGTAGATATATTATTGACAAATGGAATTCTGTAGCGTCATTGTGTTTAGTATTCAGAGGGTTGTTTCAGCTTCCAGAAGCTGCTTCCAACTTCATGAAAAAAGTGACTTGCACTTCTCGCAAACGCGTGCTCGTGCTCGTTTACTCTATTACATAACCTGAATAAAAAAGGTGGGCGTATTGTTCTAAATTTATATACGAGTAGCAGCTACCTACTCGTTGTGTTTGTTCTCACAAAAATCCGATGTCTTTGGGGTTTAATCGAGGTGCACACATGTATGTGATCTTGGCATCGAAAAGACATAATGGCGGCGACGGTGAGTGACGGGCATGTTTACGTGCGCTGCCAACATAAACACACCGGAAGTGTCCGCTAATTATAAATATGTTGTCATCAATCATTGAGCTGTACGCTCCTCGATACTTAGCGTGCGCTTGGGGGAGCAATAGTGAAATTAAAATGGTAGGCAACCAGCAATACGCGCCAATATCAATTCGTGTATAACTGGTCGAGATTGTAAACAATGCAATTACAATATTAAAACATTAAACGGTGGAAACGTGCGAAAACAATCAAACAAGCGCACAATGTTGTCGCCGGTCGGATTTCTTCTCGCGCTCCCCGTAATAGCGCAATGTGTAATGTCAGAAGTAATGCGTAATGTCGGAACGTGCTTCGAGTGCGTGTTGAAAACTCAATGGCGACACCGCACAGCAGCCACACATACACACGCACAGTGCCGGACTAACGCGACAAATGCGTGCATAATATATATACCTTCACATACGTGTTGTGTGTGCATATGCGCTGGGGCAATTACATTCAATTACAATGTATCCAGTGATTTCACAGTGGCAAAGAACCCGACCCGGCCGAGCGCGCACCAACCGGCCATCAACCGTCGCGTAAAATGCCGGCCGTCCTTCATTCTTTATATGCGGTTCGCGAGTCGCGCGTATCGTTTTATTGAAATTCGAAATGTGCATGGCGACGCCGATGTCACGTAACCGGCCAAAGTGAGCCTTAATTGATTAGTTTATACAAAGAAATATTAAAAATACGCACGCATGTATTTTTCACACATGCGATACCGCGAACTAATAATGTGAGCGCATTATTCCACGAAACACAGGGTGTGCATTCTCGGTAATTCACCATTATTCACTACACCCTTTTCAGTCACTACAATATAAGTGGGATGGATGGGCAAAGTTTTATTGCCATTTTTATATTTACTTATAGCCAGAATTGGCAAACAATATCCCTATCCCTTCTAATAATATTATAAATGCGTCCTGATGTTTGTTACACTTTCACGCAAAAACTACTTAACCGATCATCATGAAAATTTGTACACATATTCTTAGTGGTCCCCGAATGGTTATAGGCTACTTTTTATTTAATAAAAAAATTATTTTTAAATAAAATAAAGAAATTGTTTAGCCAATAATACCTCTGCATCTGGCTATTTGACTACTTTAACGCCATCTAGCATTCCAGCAATGAAGCTCAAACCTAAGTACTATAGTACCATCACACTGTATTACCGACAGCTACGTCAACATCAAATCCAATTGACTACACTATGGAGACTGTACACTATACTTCCATAGACTATACTTTCAGCCATTTTAAACTTCCCGCCATTCTACTTCATTGTTACTTCTTCTGTGACTACAGACGCGTACGGAAGCAACTTCATTATTTTAGATATTCGCGAGCGAAGCCGCGGGTTAAAGCTAGTATTACATAAATAGAGCGGAAAACAATGTTTTTCAGTGTAGTATGAACAAAAAATAAGCAAATTTTTTAATTTTACACAACTTGCAATTTTTAAAATCATTTCAAGCTGATTATAAACACAATTATTCGTCGTATCATAGAAGAAATTAATTTAAAGCAAAAAACTTGACATATTTGTGGTTAAATTGAGGTTATGTTGAATTTATTTACATATTAAGAGTGGAAAACATGTAATTTCATGTAATTCCACTCTTGAATTAAAAACAAATTTATCTTTCCATAGTTATTTACAAAGCGTATAAATAAAAATCAAATGAATACAAAGTAATTACAAATTTTGAACAACAGATGTTCAATTCCCTCTCGCAGCATCTCTCAACGCACGCGAGTTGAAATGCGTGCCCGGCGGACACGACCAATAAGTCATTACAATAATAAAACGTCGATTTAATGCGCTCTTTGGTAGAATTTGATTACGTTTTCGATGTAATTAACGGCCGTGGCTCGCTACGCAGCGATCATTAAATCGATGTCAATCGCAAGTTAATTGAATGAGCCAGCCACGCGTAATAAACCAAACGTGCTGACAGACCAACTTCACGACAATGCGATTCAAACTAACTTGTGCATTGTTGTCTCATTAAATCCGCGTAAATTTCGGCATAAACTATGCGTCTGTAATTGCTGGAATAAAGAATCAGTATTTTGCGCGTGTAGTCACTTCGAGGAGGAGAGAACGGAAAGAATATTGGTGTAATAAATAACCGGTATATAAATAAGTCCGACACGTAATTACACGAGATAGATACTGCCCAAGGTGCGCCCTTTTTAATAAAACGTGACATATGATTAACAAGTGTATCCTTCACCTTCCACGCGCCCGGCACACGGCAACGGGGCAATCGTTTTCTTTCCGCTGGGCGTTCGGTCAGCGACGTGTTCTGCTTTAGACTCTTCTTTAACACCATTGTAGGTATGAATATTTTCAGCCGGGCGTTCTTTATTAACTCGTTCGGTAAATGTGTGCGTTGTTTTCACGCCTTGTTAATGCTGGAGTTTATTTATATTTATATTTACGAATGATGGATGTGTCGAAGAGTGATCATTGCACCGGAGCGTATTTCCTTCGATATTGTTTGCGGTGTGTGCTAAGTGTTGTAATTTGCACATGCAATGCAACTCTTCACCTGCGTGCGCCGGTCGTGCATATGGATGGAAATCAATTAAAACAATAAGCCGGGGCTGCAACAATCGCCGGTAGGAATCGCCGGAACTACAGGCACTCACGTCGCTCATTACAAGGAATTCGACGGCTTGAATGTTGAATAAACGTTCGCGGAAAGTGTCGCGATGAATTTTAACATAAAATTTTAAGTTGTGGGTTTTTTGTTGTCCGTTAGAGGGCGTTATTAGTGCTGAACACATGCGGTAACTGATGAAAATTGATACTTTTTGATTCTATTAATATCGACATCTTTTAAAATATGCTAAATGTGAAATTAATATCTGCCATTAAGTCGTGTTCGTTTTGTGAGCGAACGCGCGAGCAGCAAACCGCCGAAGCGCACATCTGTTCCGGATGTGAGAAATTTTTATCCTGAAAATTTTAAATTCAAGCGGACACACCACGCGCGCACGAAAACACCACCTTTTCGGAAAACGCTAATTATCACACTGGTGCAAACGACTTAAGTAAGATATTATTATGTTTATCGGTAAATAAAACGCTTAATTTCATTTTTTTAAAGTTGAATTCTTATACTCGTATTTTTGATTTTCTTGTTAACCAATGTGTCTCCTGATGCTTAAAATATATGATGCGTGTGTGCGCTTGCTGATGCGGCAATAAACTCATATGAAATATAAATCAAAGGTTTAATAACGCGCAGCATTAAAACTTTAATTCCGACGACTGTCGTCTGCGTCCCGCGCGATCATTCAGCTTTAACGCCCCGCCTGTCGCGCACAATCTAAAATTGCGCGCCGCCAAAAAACGACGCACACATTACGCCGGATTATTCGATTTTATTATCTTTATAATTTTATAAATAGCCGCTGATGCTTTATTTTATTTCTCCGAAAACACCGTCGTATTGTTATGATAATATTTTTGATTCGTCTGTTAAAAATGAATTAATTTTGTGTGTTTTTTGCGTATTTTGCGCCGTAAAACGGCCGTAACTTTAATGCGAAACCGATAATAATAAAAGGGCGACCACCGTTTTCGTTCGCGCTCCATTTCAAGGGCTCGTTGGCAGCGAGCAAGAAAGAAACCCAAATGCAATTATGAAAATGTGACTTAATGTTCGTGAGATTTATGGTCGCCGCGACTTAAATATATTAATTTATGGAGTTATCTGCGCCGCCGGCCACACGAAACAAATACAACGCACACGTATGCACGGATATGTCGCGTATTAGAAGGTGCACACACGTTGGAAACTTCTTTTAAAAATAGCTGAAACAAGAACCATTTAGTAATGTGTAGCAATCGGGCGCGCGCGCGCGCTGAGGAAATAAATTGGAAACGAGTTACGAAGGCGAGTCAAATATTTATAAAACAATGGTTGACAATCTCATTAATTTTATATTATGAATGGCGCTGCTCATCGTGCTCAATCGTGAACATTTTAATGAATCGGTAAAAATCTCAGGGCGGCGTGTGTTGTGACTAGCATAAGTACTTAATGTATATAAAAGCTCATCAAAAAAGCCGTAGCATAATTACCATCACGAAGTTGGTTGGTTTGCGCTTGCGAGTCGAAAATAGAATTATGTCCCTGTCGGCCCGATGATATCTCTCCTCCATACAGAGCGACTCAGCCCCGTCTTCTTGACGAACTGCTAAAATTAAATCAATCATTCCTCTCCGCCGGCGCGTCGTTCGTCTATTTGCATGTGATGCGCAGCCATCGGGCCCCCGTAGCACAATTAAAAACGCGACGTGCGTCTCACGTGAAACTGGCGAACGCGTTACGGATGACGGATTATTAAGACGCATCGCGGTGACAAACAAAATTTATAAAAATATAACCGCGCGCAGCGCACGAGTTTCTTTCATTCGGGTGGCGTTTATAAATAGTTTAATCACTGCTCTAAATTTCGATCGACGTTTTTCGCTTTCATGCACGTGTTACTTATTAAACTTCTTTCAGACACATTTACATTAAACATGTTTGTAAAGTGGGGCGTCCACATGGACTGGACGGGCTCCATTTGGATTTTTGCGCGTTTTTATTTTGTTTTTTTGGTGTTTTATCACTAAATATCAATATTTTTTGTTATTTCTTTTTGTAATATTATAGTTTTTGATGAGTTCTATACAATGGAATTTAAATCAAGTAAATATCTCTTTTAGTTTAGAAGTTATAACGAATTTAAAATTTATTTTTACAAATTTTTACATTTTTTGCATTCTTACGTCTACATAGTAAAAATATTTAGGTTTATTCTTAACTAATTTTATAGTTTTCATAATTATTTATCCGTTAGAATGAAAATAAACAGTATATTATAATTAGTTTTCAAGTTCTAGCGATTTTTTGATACTGATTTGAATCTTTTCGCGCTTCGCAACTGCGGAAACTGCGTTTCGGTGCAATATGGTTACCATAAACATACATTTCTCTTCACTTCACATATTGCATTTGATTGCGTGGCATCAGTTTGAACGTTTCCCAGGTAATTGCCACTTGCGGTTCGAGTCGAATCTGTGTGCAAGACGGGCACTATAATTTCAATCTATACTTACGTCGGCATGAATTGCGATTATTATTATAAATAGTTACGCTATTTTAATGTGCATGCACATTGTTCGCGCGGGTAACGTCAGTCAATGATATACCCCAAGCTTCGTTGCGCTCATGGGGTTAAAGTTGAAAATGCAAACGAGCATCGCATTTCGAGCATCGCATGTCGGCACGATATTTCGAAATAGTTTAGACATGCATTCAAATACGTACCGGTTATAATATAAGGATAAATAATAGCAGCGAATGGCAATTTTTATCGAGAAAGGAGCGCCGCCACCGCCGCCGCACAGTTCAGAAGTTCAATAATAAAAGTGGTCGCGCCGGCGCGCGCGCACACACGAAACAAATATTTTATTTTCTAATGGATCGCACGAAATCCACTTAAACAATTACTATATCGGTGAAAATGATCGCGTGCACATTTCAGCGCGCGGCGAAATCATGCTGCGGTTCTTTCGCTGAATTTATTATACGCGAGTGACGGCCGAACACATTCCTAATTGAGATTAACATAATTACGATCGGCGAGACGATCGAAAGGTGCGCTTGCAATCGTATATCATATTGAACGATAGAAACACACACGACGTGCGCGCGAAGGCGGCTGATTTTAATTGCGCTTCATTCTTCATTCATATATGTGTCGCATTCGATAAACCAACACATTACGGCTCATAGGTGCGTTCAACTTGCAATAGATATGTGTATGTGCAACTAATTTCAATATTAATCGCTCGCCGAGTGCATAAATATCGACACGCGCACGCATGATTTATATCGAGCGGAAAAACTGAAAGGATATCGTATGTGCGTGCGGCGCGCGGATATGAAATTTGTATATACTATAGATAATTATAAAACGCACAGAGACAGTCAAATAAATTACCGCCGATACACGCGGACCATCAAACATCTTAATTAATGAGCATCGCCGTTTGATCTCGCTTAATACTCGCACGTCGCGCGCTCGTGCCGCACACGCTCACGCATAAAACTAAAACAAATTTTCCGTCTGCATGTCCCGATGTTTTCATGGTCTTTTGCTAGCGATTGGAAAGATTATTATAAATGATGTCGGATTGTTATGCATATAGCATTTCAATTGCACAAGATATTGCGCTGTTAGGGGTTTATTTTCGAATTGTTCTACGAGCGTCGGCCTCGACCCAAATTTATTTCATTTTATTTACTGTTTCATTATAAAGTCGTAAAAAGTTGGAGTTTAATCGGTGTGAGAGGAGTTTATTACACATTTCATTTTGCACGCCGCGAAATAAAATCAATTCACGGCTAGAAACATTTGTGGATTATAAATTATTGTATGTGCTGACATTTGGAGTCGTTGTAATTGTATTTTTGGACAATTTAAACATAGATGGCGCTGCGGTGTATTTGTTCGAAATCATATATATCTAGGTGATGCATCTTTTTGATGGTTTTGAGCATATGCGCATAGAATACTGACATCGATGATCTGTCACATGATTTATATAGTTTTTTCAAAATTCGCGCCAAATTCAAAATACTTCTAACTGTTGTCTGCGAGTAAATTACTTGCTGGAAAATTACAACTCGACCACAAGATAATTATTAACAAAAAAATGACATCAATTGATGATTTATTTCAATAAAACACTGACCGGATGACCAAAAGAACCTACAATGTATTAAATTTAGCCTTTTGAATACCATCCGATCATTGTTCCCATGCGGTCTCGTGCCGAGACTTGTTCGGCACTCATCTAACATATGCGGATTACAGTGTTTTTGATTAATAAATGTCACCGGAAGATAAGTTATAGGCTCAGACGTCTAGCACTCTCACCACACTCTCAGCGAAACGCGTCGGCAACTTCGCGTTTTACGATCGCATGCAGGTCGTTCGTTCCGTTTCAGAAGTAAAATACGCACATACGGGCACAAGAAGCCCTCTCAACGCCAACACGATGAAAAGGTTGCCTTCTTTTCTTTCAAATCATAAAAATCACTCGCTGAAACTCGCCTGATCAAAGCGCATTCACAGCCGTCGCAACATTGTCGTCCAGCATCAACAAATCAACATTATTAAATATTACTTGAATACCAGCATGATTTACGACTTTATATCTGTTTTAATAAATTATTATTCTTTGTTTGCAGGCACACCAATCAACAGGCTGCCGATTATGGCGAAATCAGTATTAGATCTCTACGAATTGTATAATCTAGTAATCGCTCGCGGGGGACTCGTGGACGTCATCAACAAGAAATTATGGCAGGAAATTATCAAAGGCCTGCATTTACCCTCCTCGATCACATCGGCGGCTTTCACGCTTCGCACACAGTAAGAATCTTCATTGCTTTAGCTTGTATATTGGTATTTTGTTTGGAGATTATAAGATTATGCGGCACGCGGTCAGATATATTAATGATATATTTGTGCATTATGACATTCACGATTGAATTCCACGATTTCAAGATAGATTAGTGATACGTTAAAAACATGTTTTGTTTGTTATTCTGTCGTGTGCGTGCGCGGTTCGATTTTGTAGCCGCATTTATTCGTTCGCTCTTCTTCATCTTTATCTTAATATAGAACGGATCATTTATCTCGACAGTGGTGCTTGTCATATGTCAGACACCGGGTTTTCATATAAATAGCATTAGTTTGAATTCGTAGCCCGCAACTTCGTTTTAATGTGCTACTAATTCGAACAACGCGCGCCATAACAACGCGCCAATGAATTTTTTGTAGCATATCATGTTTCCACACTAAATAAAATTACGTTTATTAACAATCCGTTTTGTTTTATCTCCGCAGATACATGAAATATTTATATCCATACGAATGCGAGAAGCGGCGTTTGAGCACACCGGCTGAATTGCAGGCGGCCATTGATGGTAACAGACGTGAAGGACGTCGCAGTAGTTATGGACAGTATGAGTCTGTGCAGAGATCTCCAAATCCATCACAAATGTCTCCACTGTCGCTGGTATCACAACAGCAGCATCTAGCTGCCCGAATGAATTCGGTTATGAGTGGCGGAATCAGTCTTCACAATGGCGCACATCATCCCAGCCATCCGACACCTTTGGGACAACCGATGAACGCAGGTCCTTTGCCCGGTTTAGCGCCCAGTGAGTTCGAGGCGCGGATGATGGAGTATGTGAAGTTGTTAAACAAGGAAATCAGAAGTTCGGCGTCAACGCCGCCAAGGCAAGGTGATCTCTCACCACCGATTGCCACATCACCTTTGAATCCACTCGAGATGTCCCGAATGACATTGTGGAATCTGTATAATAATAATCAACCGCCGTTGGAGCCACAAAAGGAGGCTCTGAACTTGTCGGATGCGTCGCCGCCGATGATCAAACGCGAGCCTGAGCATCGAGATTCTCCGCCACCAGCCAAAAAGTTCATCAAAGACAGCAATGATCATCCTGCTAAGATGATGGCACCCAGTACAAACATCAAAATTAACAGTCGAGGTAAACAGACCCACAGAAAAACAATTTTTACTGTTTCTAACTTTTTTCTTTAAAATTTCCAGGTGATGCTCGCAATGGTGACAATTCTTTGGTGGTCAGTATGGAGCTGAATGGCGTCACATACCAGGGAGTTCTCTTCGCACAAGCAGCCTCAACGCCGAATATAAATAGCACAGGGCGGACGGTGGTGGCATCGTAAATGTTTCCTATGTACCCATCATCATCCTGATCATCTTAATCATAGTGTTTATATTTTACAATTCGTGCCGATTTTCATGGAAACATGTCTAGATAGGGTATTACTGACGCTTCACGTTTGTTTTCTTCGAGAATGGTTCGTGCTTCAAGGACGCGTCAACACCGACACAGATTTGTTTACTTTTATTTATTGAAAAATTATATTTGGTGTTTGACAATCCGATAGAAGTCACACATCGCTTTTATCACCTTCATACCGACTAAATGTTTAATACTAGATATTTCTAATTTTAAGTGATCAGTGGTTATATATGTTATGCACAAGTAAATTGTAGGACGTATGAAAGTAGTGAATGTTGAGCGTTATGTAGCTTTTTTGTAGTATGTCTTAAGTTCTGACAGGAGATCAGAATACAAAATGCCAGTTTGTACATGTATATTTATTTTTGCATTAGATAGTTGGAATATTTTTAACTTAACTTTTAAACTTATACTCTAATACTGTAATCGAATGTTATGACATCAGAAACAACGCATAACTAGTGTAGGTAATCGTATCATATTAGTGTCCTGTTCATTGTTCCGAATTTTTCAGTATTTTCCCCTTTGATTTAACACGTAGTATGTGTGTGTGTGTCGTGCTGAACAATGATTTTATTGTGAAATCAGTTACGAGCGACTGATTTAGTTTAAACATAGTGTTGTAGGCGTCATCCATAGAAGCGTAATGGAATTGTAAATAGTTAAAAGTTATTTGTCTATGGATCCTACTTTTATTATGACTACAAATTGCAATTAGGAGCTTATTGCATGTTAATACTTGAGAAAGGAACCATATCATTGTAGTATGGAGGCAATCTAAATGTTGTTCAATTCAAAACTAAGCAGCGGTTAATGTGCGTATTTACTTAATTAATATATTGCGACGAAGCTGATGCGGTAGCAGTTTTGCTATGGAACGAACCGAGGGTATTTACTGGTTTTGGACGAAACATTTTAAACAATATTTTGTACCAAAAAGACTGTTATTTTATTGAATTTTATTGATAATTGTGACTTATTTAAGAGGTACGCCTAGTTACTACACGAAACAAAACTAACTATCTAAATGCATTACTTACTACTTTCTTCGTTCTTTACGAAATATTATTTGAATTTATAATTTAATCATTATTAAGCATAGTCTTATCATAAAGATAAAACAAAAGATACACATGTTGTAATGAATCTTACAAACAACAATTTGTAGCAATATTAGATTTATGGTATTAGTGTTATGCGTTTCTTTTTTCACTGATAATTAGAGAAAGTATAAGAAGGAGAAAAAAGTAATATTGAAGTAAACTTATGTGAAGGAGGAAAACTAAGCTGTACATTATTTCATTGTTCCAATTTTAAATAATAATGCGTAAATGATATATGGAAACCACATTCGATTTGTGTGGAATGTCGTTTCAATAAATATTTAATACATTAAAGTGAAATATAAAACTGAAGTGATCAATATGAGAGAATATGCTGCATAGCTAGCGTACGTACCGGTTTGCTGCAACGCGCTTATCAGTGTGTGTAAACAAACAACTTTTTCTATCGTTTTCAGCCAGCGCGCTGCAGCGCAATTTTAGTATATTTTTATCTGATTGAGAATCTTCCAATCTTTCATAATCAACAATTCGTTGGTAGCTATCTCTTTTAGTTTAAGAGATATGAATTTTTGAAAATCGTCGAAAAAAAGTATCAAGCACCCCCCCTTGGCAATTTTTTTCTTAAGATTGAAAATTTCATCTCACAGATTTCCGTTTTAACTATTCTATCTGATAGAGATTGGTCCGTAGATTAAGACGCTGCGATCAGAACTTAATTATCTCTTTTAGTTTACGAGATATTCGCGATTGAATAAAATGGGCAAAAATTGCAAAATGTCACTTTTTAGCACTTTTAGTCGCGTTTTTCGACCTTTTACTGTAGGAAATATAATTATTGTATATTTTTATCTGATTGAGAATCTTCCAATCTTTCATAATCAACAATTCGTTGGTAGCTATCTCTTTTAGTTTAAGAGATATGAATTTTTGAAAATCGTCGAAAAAAAGTATCAAGCACCCCCCCTTGGCAATTTTTTTCTTAAGATTGAAAATTTCATCTCACAGATTTCCGTTTTAACTATTCTATCTGATAGAGATTGGTCCGTAGATTAAGACGCTGCGATCAGAACTTAATTATCTCTTTTAGTTTACGAGATATTCGCGATTGAATAAAATGGGCAAAAATTGCAAAATGTCACTTTTTAGCACTTTTAGTCGCGTTTTTCGACCTTTTACTGTAGGAAATATAATTATTGTATATTTTTATCTGATTGAGAATCTTCCAATCTTTCATAATCAACAATTCGTTGGTAGCTATCTCTTTTAGTTTAAGAGATATGAATTTTTGAAAATCGTCGAAAAAAAGTATCAAGCACCCCCCCTTGGCAATTTTTTTCTTAAGATTGAAAATTTCATCTCACAGATTTCCGTTTTAACTATTCTATCTGATAGAGATTGGTCCGTAGATTAAGACGCTGCGATCAGAACTTAATTATCTCTTTTAGTTTACGAGATATTCGCGATTGAATAAAATGGGCAAAAATTGCAAAATGTCACTTTTTAGCACTTTTAGTCGCGTTTTTCGACCTTTTACTGTAGGAAATATAATTATTGTATATTTTTATCTGATTGAGAATCTTCCAATCTTTCATAATCAACAATTCGTTGGTAGCTATCTCTTTTAGTTTAAGAGATATGAATTTTTGAAAATCGTCGAAAAAAAGTATCAAGCACCCCCCCTTGGCAATTTTTTTCTTAAGATTGAAAATTTCATCTCACAGATTTCCGTTTTAACTATTCTATCTGATAGAGATTGGTCCGTAGATTAAGACGCTGCGATCAGAACTTAATTATCTCTTTTAGTTTACGAGATATTCGCGATTGAATAAAATGGGCAAAAATTGCAAAATGTCACTTTTTAGCACTTTTAGTCGCGTTTTTCGACCTTTTACTGTAGGAAATATAATTATTGTATATTTTTATCTGATTGAGAATCTTCCAATCTTTCATAATCAACAATTCGTTGGTAGCTATCTCTTTTAGTTTAAGAGATATGAATTTTTGAAAATCGTCGAAAAAAAGTATCAAGCACCCCCCCTTGGCAATTTTTTTCTTAAGATTGAAAATTTCATCTCACAGATTTCCGTTTTAACTATTCTATCTGATAGAGATTGGTCCGTAGATTAAGACGCTGCGATCAGAACTTAATTATCTCTTTTAGTTTACGAGATATTCGCGATTGAATAAAATGGGCAAAAATTGCAAAATGTCACTTTTTAGCACTTTTAGTCGCGTTTTTCGACCTTTTACTGTAGGAAATATAATTATTGTATATTTTTATCTGATTGAGAATCTTCCAATCTTTCATAATCAACAATTCGTTGGTAGCTATCTCTTTTAGTTTAAGAGATATGAATTTTTGAAAATCGTCGAAAAAAAGTATCAAGCACCCCCCCTTGGCAATTTTTTTCTTAAGATTGAAAATTTCATCTCACAGATTTCCGTTTTAACTATTCTATCTGATAGAGATTGGTCCGTAGATTAAGACGCTGCGATCAGAACTTAATTATCTCTTTTAGTTTACGAGATATTCGCGATTGAATAAAATGGGCAAAAATTGCAAAATGTCACTTTTTAGCACTTTTAGTCGCGTTTTTCGACCTTTTACTGTAGGAAATATAATTATTGTATATTTTTATCTGATTGAGAATCTTCCAATCTTTCATAATCAACAATTCGTTGGTAGCTATCTCTTTTAGTTTAAGAGATATGAATTTTTGAAAATCGTCGAAAAAAAGTATCAAGCACCCCCCCTTGGCAATTTTTTTCTTAAGATTGAAAATTTCATCTCACAGATTTCCGTTTTAACTATTCTATCTGATAGAGATTGGTCCGTAGATTAAGACGCTGCGATCAGAACTTAATTATCTCTTTTAGTTTACGAGATATTCGCGATTGAATAAAATGGGCAAAAATTGCAAAATGTCACTTTTTAGCACTTTTAGTCGCGTTTTTCGACCTTTTACTGTAGGAAATATAATTATTGTATATTTTTATCTGATTGAGAATCTTCCAATCTTTCATAATCAACAATTCGTTGGTAGCTATCTCTTTTAGTTTAAGAGATATGAATTTTTGAAAATCGTCGAAAAAAAGTATCAAGCACCCCCCCTTGGCAATTTTTTTCTTAAGATTGAAAATTTCATCTCACAGATTTCCGTTTTAACTATTCTATCTGATAGAGATTGGTCCGTAGATTAAGACGCTGCGATCAGAACTTAATTATCTCTTTTAGTTTACGAGATATTCGCGATTGAATAAAATGGGCAAAAATTGCAAAATGTCACTTTTTAGCACTTTTAGTCGCGTTTTTCGACCTTTTACTGTAGGAAATATAATTATTGTATATTTTTATCTGATTGAGAATCTTCCAATCTTTCATAATCAACAATTCGTTGGTAGCTATCTCTTTTAGTTTAAGAGATATGAATTTTTGAAAATCGTGAATTAGAAATATGTATCCTATTCGTAGTTTTAAGTAAGTGTAATTAACGGCTGTCCTTAGCAGGATATTCCGGGAAATTTGTGTGTTAAAATAGTACATGTTCATTATCCGACAAAATGAATTTAAATAAGTGTTCATCATAGTGCGAGTTCTCACACACGTGTTTTTTTGTTTCAGTCCTCTCTTTGATTTCCTGATGCACTGGTAAGTTTGTAAACGTTATTATATCATAATTACAAATTTATTTTAAATCGCATGTAACGTGAGTACCGTAATGAAACAAAATTGATGCGTGCCGTCGGATGCGACTTCGATCTACCCGTAGAGTATGGTCGTGTCAATCGTCGGTTTAATAACGTGAATTTTTCCTTGCTTGCATTTTCTTTTCATTTCATAAATCTGCAGGCTCTTTAACGTATTTTCGTAGTTTGGCAATTAATTATTGAGAGTAAGATATATGTAAAAGACGATTTAAATTTCCTTTCGCGTGTGTGCTTTAGTTGCCGTCGGCGGACACATTTTGCCTTGCTTGTGGCGTATCTGGAGAATCCATCGCAAAGAAAATTTCTAGCTCTTTATAAATGTAATTGTATTTTTGTTGTTTCACCCTCTCTAATCGTGAATCTAATTCCATGCATGGAAAATTTTGAATTTTTTTATTAAATGTAGCAATTTTCTTCTTGAAAATATTAATTTATTATATTATTATTAATTTTCCTTGCTCTCTAATGTAAAACTGACTAAATTTATTGGTTCCGGGTTTTCTATTTAAACTTTGTATTTTATTTTTAAATGTAGGAATTTCCTATTTGTAACACCCTGTATGTTTGTTTTTCTTGATTTCCTATTATAAGTTTTCTAAATTTGTTATTCCCGAGTGTTTTCTTCTTTGAACTATTGATTTTCTTTTTGTAACACCCTGTATATATGTTTTCTTTTTGTGTCCGTGAAAATTTTGCTTTAACTGTCGTCTTTAGTATTTTCCCATTTGCACTTTAAATTTTCTTTCTGGAACACCTTGTATATTAGTTTCCCTGATCGTCGAGTGAAAACGAGCGGCGTTTGTAGTGTCCAGAGTTTTTTGTTTGCACTTAAAATTTTCTTTTTGTAACACCCTGTATATTTATTTTCATTGTCAATAACATAGAAAATGAACTATTTGCTAATTTCATTATTCCGGTAGAACTGTACGTAGTGCTATTTGCTTATATGTGCGCGGCTTAGCAGGTCGTAAGTCCTGTTTCAATATGGCGACATGTATTCTGTTGACTTGCAAAGTCTAAACTTGTATTCTATTGTTAATAAAGAAATAGTAAGATATATTGACTTCTTTGATTTGTGTGTTCGCCTTCTATCATTTCAGGAACAGGTCTCTAAGAGAGTTCCCTCTCTCAGGGGATGATCCCCTCTATAAAAATTGTTAAGGTAACCTGTATGATTTGTGTACTCCTTCTTTCATTTCAGCAACAGGCGACTTAAAACTTAGAAATATTTTTATAAGTTCTTAAAAGGATGTCCTTATAAGGAGTTCCCTCTCTCTGGGGGTGATCCCCCACCATAAAAATTGTTGATATGCCTGATAATTTCGGGGATGAAGCGCAGAGACATCGTAGCTGTAGGATGGGCCGGGAGCAATGGACGGACTGAAGCAGTGGGCGATCGACCAGAGCGCCGAAGGCGCTCTGGGAGATCGACCTGTGACTGTCTTATAACGACACGTGCCAAAAAATTTAAAAATCTGATCCTCCCCTGTTCTCTTTCTTCGATCTCCTCCTCTTCTCTACTCTACTCTCTGTTCTCTTCCTTCTATCTTCTTCTATTCTCTACTACTCTCACTCTTCTATTTCTCTGTTCCCCCGTTCTCCATTTACTTTTATTTCAATTTCTCTTATATTTCGTTGCAATTCATATATGCAACCCAAATTACACCTGATATTTTTATATTTGAGAAAAATGCCTTCCATACCTGAGATTCGATCCGTGTCTGCTAGCATGCCAGCAGGTGCACGTCTCCACTCGACCACCGAGTGCTTTTATCATTGTTATTTGATTCTTCTATTTATGTTTCTACTTTTATCATGTTTTAAAAACAACAACACAACACAACTATGTTGCACTCGCTCCACGCGCATAATATTTATATGCAATATAAACTAAGACGTCGTTAATACTGAAAACGACAAAGAGGATACCATAATGAAATATACATGAGATTATAATTTTACATAGTGTTTTATTGACAACAATAATAATAGATACATTTCTTAAAAGTACAGTTTTAATATCTAATTAGCTACTCCAAAAATAAAATATTACAGTACTTACATTTTGAAGTAAATCTGGCCGTAACCCGAGAACACCATGTAAAGAATCTTGAAATTGATTTCTATGGCGTTGTAATTTTATTTACAACCATCTTCCATAGAGCCATTTCCTAAGGAACCGTAACCTAAATAAAAAATTATAATTAGTATAAAGATGAAAAGTTTAAATCTAGAAGTTTAAGATTATATGAGAAAAAATACTTAGTTTATAGGTAGATTTACATCGATTCTATATTTACATATAACATGAGTTACATTTATAAACACAACACAAGTGCCAATGACGATGTCAATACAATATATCTACAGATTAAAACATGTTTCTAACAGGTTACAGTAGAAACGTGCACACTAATACTAAAACATAAACGCAGAAAGATTTGCACACAAGAGAAACAACAATAAACATCTACATATTTAAACAAATACCCAGGTATAACGTTGTATTAAATACAAATGTAATACTACTTTTCGAAAACATACATTTCCAACATGCTTCTAAACACAACACTAGAAAAACGATGTCTATCTTACTAGGCATTAAGTTAGTGTGGAGCACAGAATAAAACAACACAACTAAAGTGCAAGAAGAATAATCTGGACAAAAGTAAAACTGAATGGAACTAAATACATAGAAGTAACAAAGAACAACATTAATACTATATGTAACTATTCTCTAGGACTGAACACACAAATCCCACAAAGAACACACATATTTAATACAAATATTAACACTTAGTACATCGATTATAAATACTTGTTCATTTTTCATTACACTTTTTATCTCCATTAGCATTGACATCAATTATCATTTAATTTCTCTGTGTGAATGCCCGAATTAAGCTTTAAAATATCATAAACCTGAATTTAAAACAAACGAACTTATCTTCAGAGTAAGACAGAATTACACATTAAAAATGCAAACTAAGATCATGATTCTTACATTACAAATGGGGCGATAGAAATCTTATATCAATTAATTTTCTTCCCAATAAAAGTCATGCGCTGTTCTTTAACTCATTTAGATTTAGAACAAACATTTTAGCAAGCAATTTACCCCGAATATTAAATATAAAGCTACTTTTTTAGTACTTGGCACTATTATACGTTAAACACAAAGCCTTGTACATATCTTCTGACCAAATTAAATATTTTGGAACAAAAATTAGAATCAAGAAATTAGTGCAGTTAAAATTGGAACTAAAATGTCTTTGTCCTTACGTTAGATTGTTAACAAATTTATTCTTTTATGAAACAAAAATGATGATGAAGAGGAATTTATAAATCTTCTCTTGCTCTCCATTCTGCTCAAGTCTCGTAGACGCGTCTGGTAAAATGAATGAATGAATTTTGAATCTGCTTCCAGATCTCCGTAAGGCCTCGATAAAAAATTAAACCTAAAAAAGACAATGTTAATGTACAATTATTCAAATTTAAAAAATACTAAACCACTTACATTTTGAAGTAAATCCGGTAATCAATCAAAGTGAAGCTGTTCCCTGCGAAACTCTTACATCAGAAAAGTGATGAAATTGATTTTTGGTGGAACCGTCCGTTGTGACGAACTATTTTCGAACACAAAGTGATCTGATGTAAATAAAATAAGCATTATTATAACATAGAATAATACCGAATTTAAAAGAGAATAATATCAGAACTGCACAAAGGTTTACCACAAAAATAACAACAAAGAAATTAATTTTAATTTGAATTGAAAAAACTTAAAACTCGTTGATGCTAGCGCCATCTAGTTGTGAAAATCAGAAAGTTAATCTAGCGACGAAGGAAATTACAGTTTTCTGTACTATTTAGCTACTATTTATAATAATTGCGTGCCCCCTCGTCAGAGGTCGCTAGGATACACGTTTCGAGATAAAATAGCGCCTGCAATAATCGCAAGATAAACAAAAGCTAAAAAATCTCAAACATTTATAATAATTAATAATTAATTATATTTAATTAATATAATAAATAACAATAAATATGTCAATCGGAGAAATGTCTCCTAAAACATCTGTCCGCTTTGATTTCTGCAATTTTATCCGAAACTATATGCGCGCTCTGTAGTTTGTACAACAATCAAAATGTGGAATATTAAATCAGCGAAGCTGACGTATCACGCTGCTATAAAACGCGTCTGAATTTTGCAACGGTGCGCCAAAATTGCACAATGCACAAGTGATAAATACCACCGCCGGGCGCAAACATCACGGCAATAAATCATTCAGGCGTAAATTTAATGTTTAAAATAAACCGCGCCGGGTCGACCGCCGCCACCGCCGCACGTTTAAAACGTTCGGGCGGGCAAACACCTACGTTTATGTCTAACAGTGTCGCGCTCCGGCGGCATTAGCAGCGTAAGGTATCCCCTATTAATTAAAAGCGCAAAGTTTCAAGTAGTTTTGTTGTGTAATTAAACCGTAATATCCCGCGCGTAATGCCTTTGACTTATTTAAGCAAAATTATCGCGTAAAAGCGGATAGTCGTTAGACGCTCTTACCCTTTGTTCGGCAATCAATATGCTGCTGCGATTAAGCGACGTTCTAACACTTATTTATTTATTATCGGGTCGGGGCGCTGTGCTCACGATAATCACGCGCGCCGGGTTATCAGCGTGCGCCAACGAAACGAATTGAATATCGAGCGCACCTCTTTTCCAGAAAATCGATTCGTTTTGAATGCCTATGAGATGAGAGATTCTAGTCTCATTTTGTATGCCTAATGATCGAACTTAAATGCGTCTAATAATTTTTAATTGGATAACTTTTTAATTGGCAGCGACCTTTTCTATGGCTTTCGCTTGGCGCCGACGAAGATTCGGAGAAATGCAGATTTTCCTAGTTTGGATTTGTTTGCTAAAGGCTTTCATGTGCGCGCGTAGGGGATCTGCTACTTTGTGATCATTATTAGCGCGCTCTACCACAATGCGAATTTCAACTTTCTAATCGATTCGTTTCAAATTGCTGATAATTAAGATTCTCTTCCGCAAAGAAAACTACACTTTATTCAACACACTAGCAAACAATTTAAATGTTTTGTGCGAATACATTTCAGCGCGGCAACCTACATCTTAGTATTGTAAATGTTGGCCTGAATAGAAATGACATTGTTTAAAGCGCAACAAAAAAGCAAGTGAGAGGTCGAAGCCGAAGAAGTATGTGTTTTGTTTTATATTCTATTTTATGGTGCGCGCGTGGAATGGCAAATTCGGCGCGCCACGGCAAAGGTAAAAGAAATTTTATTGCGCGACCGTCGCACGCGGGCGTCGTGGGGCGGCACTGAAAGTCGCCGCGGTGGAAAACCAAAAGCCCACCAAAGTCCGATTCGTCGAACGGACCTTGATCGTTATGCGCCCTCGCTTGTTTATTTATTGCGTGTTCGCTTGTTTATTCTATTACGGCCATCACTTGCGGATTGAAAATTTCTTCCTTTAGGCGGGGCGGCGGCGGCGCTCGACGAGTTTTATTTTAATTTGCGCATTCCGTTCACTTTTATTTGCGGACCCTTCGGCGGGTCTTTCGCGAATGCCTATAAGTGAAATAATCTATCATGTATGCTATGCCAGGGGTGGACCGCGGACCTCGCGGGTCGAACCTAAGAATACAACAAAGGCAATCGCTTTTCTGGCTTCTGATGGTCTTTTCGGGGAGAGAGAACGCTAAACTTTATGCGCGCAAAAGTTTTTAATTAAAACGCCAGCATTATATTTCCACTGCATTTGAGATACATCGGCATCCCTACGAGCACGCAATACGAGTACAACAAACGAGCATTTTTCGTTTGATGAAATCCTAACGCGTGCAGCGAGGGAGGGAAAAAAAACTACTGCAACATTTTGAATCAACATTTTAATGTTTCGAGGTTATTTTGCGTTTTCTACACGGTAATGTGGAAAACGTTGGGGCACCTTGTACGGAAAACAGTGTTTTCCAACGTGGGAACACGTAAAACAACTTGCAAAGCGGTAAAACACCTAAATATCAATTATCTATATATATAAAAATGAATTGCTGTTCGTTAGTCTCGCTAAAACTCGAGAACGGCTGAACGGATTTATCTTATCTTGGTCTTGAATTATTCGTGGAGGTCTAGGGAAGGTTTAAAAGGTGAGAAAAATTCAAATAATTGCCGGGAAAATCCTCTAAACAGCTCTTTTTTATAGAATAAAATTTGACATTGAGATTCAATCATAGTTATAGTTAAATAGTTGAATTAGAGATGGCGCGCTGAAGTGCATTATTGACAAAACTTTATAGAATTAATTTCTTTAAATTAAAATTGTTAATCTTATTGATAGAATTGACTCTTACTACGAGTATGTCTAGAACAAGAGAGTAAAAACGAATTACATTTTTATTAAACACTGCCGGAAAGAAGTCGCGGGCAACAGCTAGTGTGATATAAAAAATTAGATTTTTGAGTGTTTTCCACATCGTAGTTTAAAAAACATTATCACCTTGTGCAGAAAACAGTGTTTTCCAACCTGTGAGTAAGTAAAAAGACTTGCAGACACAAGAAAAATTGATCCACGGATGTTTTCCACACGCTAATGTAGAAAACACTGTTTTCCAACATGCGAAAACGTAAAACGACTTGCAAAGCCGTTAAAATACCCAAATATCAATTAAAATAAAACTTTCGCCAGTATTTGTAAACGCGAAGACAAGTTCCCCGCATATGTTGCCGCCTGTGCATGTCGACGTGCTCGTCAGGCTGCGCGCAACAAACTTTACGCAGTGCGAACGACGAAAGGGTAAACACAACACACAACACAACATGTACAAGCCCAAAAACAACCGGCGGTGCAGCGCACACCAGAGCAACGCAACGAATGTACTATCAAACCCTGGTGTGGCGTTGGCGGCGGCAGCATCCCAACCGCCGCCCGGGCTGCCCGCGAAGCAAGTGGCACTAAGTCACAAGTATCAACGCTGTGTGATGCCTGCGATCCCCCCAAATGTTGTGTTGCAATGTGCGCGCTGAAAGCTCGGCTATTTATTGCCGGTTAATTTCACTCACGAGCGCATCACGCGACTAAAGATATTAATTCAGTCATGTTATCTAATTAGATACGTTTTCCAACTATCATCGTTTGATTAATCATTAAATAGACACACTCGCAAATGACACACACCATTCAGGGCGAGTCCAGGAATCAATTTGCGAAATTTGCTCGGCGTCTATATGTAAATGCCGCTGCCGCGGCCGAGGGTTGAAAAACGTCACGCGCATACCCATTGTGTGTACGCGCGCAGAGGGATAGAAGATTGATGTAAAATTGATTCGTTTGAACAATATTTATGGTCGGTTGGTCAATCGGTCAAAAGTCATTCGGGACGCGGCCAGTACATCATAGGATCAGGTTGTGAATGTACATACGAATCGCAATTTATAACGGATTTAAACGTAGAGATGAATGCTTATAATTATTCGCCTGCCATAGAAAAGTTTCCTATTCGCTTTGATGTGCGCTGATTGGTAAAATTATTTAAATTTCACCTGCACTGCATGGAAATTATTTTAGAGATAAATTTATTGAAAATATCGCAAATAATGTGATGTTAGACGGCTGTAAAAACTAATAAATTAAAACACAAAACAAAAACGGTTGAATATCGCTATATACTAATTGAATTACCAAACATGCGGAGTTGTCTAGATATATTAGAGAGGAAGTTGCTAGCATGCTAGGCAACTATGTTGAGCCGAGGAAACCGGTTTTGGCTCGGAAAAAGGAAAACTGATCTTCCGGAAGCTTTGTTCACATACAGAATGTTCAAAAGATTTTAATAATAAATACAATAAAATTAAATTTTAAACCAAACTAGCATAAAACGCCAGGTAAAACGTAAAATATGCGAAATTAAATTACTAAAGCAAACTAATTACGCGAAAAGTAATTATAAAATATTTAATTAGAGCGTAGTTTTTAAAAAACAAACATTTTTTGTGGAAACTTTTGAACAAATGGTATGCTCGCTATATAGGGATGGTGGCGGTGCGTCTGCCGGCGGTGCACTGAGAGCGCCGGGACGCTGAGGCGCATGCTGCGGGGCTGGACCAGGCCAGCGCGCGCGACGGTGGTGGAGGCGGCGGCGGCGGCGTAGGTTCAGCGCGATGCTGGCTTTCCCGCTAGTCGGCGTTAATATCGGGAAATCCGTACCGAGAGGAATTTCACGACTTCAGTCCTCTCGAAGTGATGAACGCCGTCGCGTGCGTCCGCATTACGTGAAAATTACGCGCGCCGCATGCACGCATCGCGCACACCTTTCAACTTTTACAACGCGCAAATAAATCGCGACAAAAAAAATAATCGAAATTTATTCCACGCACGTAAATAATCCGAACGAAAAAGAAAAAAATATAAACTCATAGTTGTGAAGTTTTTAATTTAAAATTCGTGCGCGTGAAAAATTTTAATTGGTAATTACATAGCACTGAGGCTCAAGGATATTTTGTTACCGACCAAAGAGTGGGGTATTGATAATTACTATTTGCATTTTAATTGCGAATTATATCAATTTCAATTTTTATTTCCGTTTTGCATATTTTACGCGGCTTTGTCACAGTCACAGTCAGTTTTTCGTTGTTTTTTCGCGGGCACGTAGATAATGAAATACTAATAAAGTTTTAGTTACTTGTGCACTTTCATTTGACGGCAATAACATCAAGTGCAGCGGTGCCAATGTGCGCCATATTGTGGCATACAAGCCGCATGTTTTGATTGCATTTTTTGCCAATTTTCCAAATTTCTCACAAATAACATATTGCGCGTTAAATTTTAGTGCAGTCTTTCAATTACTCCAACTTGTCACAACCCTACGGGCGTGTGTCTCATGTTCGTTGTCTCTCGTGTCTTGATTATCTAGTTAATTTAAAATTAATGCCTCTTTAGCCAAGTTTGCGGACGGCTTTCTTGAGAGCTTTTCAATTTGCGAGCGCGCAAAGTTGTTATCAATGCCCCGGTATTAATAACGCCTAACCATAAACGTAAAATGCTTATCTTGCCCCACGCTCCGTATTTTTAGCGGTTAGTTAAGACTTTCGCGTTCGGAGTGCGGCCGCACGGATTTGCGCCGTTTAGACGCAGAAGAGCGTAAATGTGCAACGCAATCTACGCTCGGCGAAAAGCGCGCAAAAACAAACAAGATTTTTGAGCGGGGACGGCGCCGCATTCGAAATACGTTTGGGATTTACTAATGGTTCTACGACAGGCGCACCACCACCGACGGCGAATGGGAAAACGCTCCTCCAACATGAATTGCATCGTCGGCGTGCTCGTGTTGTGCACCATTGCGTTTCAGCCAGCACATATCGGTAAGAATCTTGCGAGATTTATGAGATTTATTGGACGTTTGATTGAAATATAAGTGTCAGTTGAATATTTCATGTTTTAAAAGCAATGCACATTTGTTTGCGAATATCGGAAACAACAACAACAAATTGTTACACACGATGCACAAAACATAGGTATTGGCATATTGACTTGAATGCAGCCGCAGTATAAAAAAGCGTACACACACGGCTTTTAAGCATCACACAGAGAGCAAAAAAAATGCTGGTTGCGAATATGTCGGGCGCTTCCGTGGCAACAAAGTACCCGCCGATGCCGATAAATTGATTGATGCCTTTGATCTTTTAATTTACTTTCATGAGAGTCGCTTTTACGGTTCCCTAACGGTCTCCGGCTCGCCAATTCCGCGCCGACTGTTTCTCTATTTATCTTCGAGTGCGCGCACACCACGCCGCTATACAAACCTTGTACTTTTATCAGCGTGGACCCTTGAAATCATGAATTTTTATACGTCCACCGAGCCGCATTGCTTTATCAACGTTATGATTGCTTTTTACGCCCGTCAATCTCTTTCCACCCATGCACATAAAATAAACCGGAAGTGATTCTTCGAAATTTTCATAAATTGCTCCCAAAACGCTTCGAAACATTAAGATAATAATTAAATGTGTTGTTATTAGGCAGAAATTACATGACAAGCAAACATGACATGATTAAGACCGCGCCGGAAGTTTGAGCTAATAGATGCTGAAGTGGTGAAAATGAAATGATTAAGAATTTAACTTTTTTGGCACTCGCGGTATGATAAGCACGGCGAATAAATTAGGAAGCACCCAATTTGGAACACTTGCGGCTGGGCGCGCACCGCTTCCTTCGGCTTGGGTCTCCCCCAGCCCTGCGTTTATAATGAGAGGCTTAAAGATGTAAGTACGTAATACGCGTTTTAGCATCCATCCCGTATAGATCTGATCGGAGACGCGCTCGCGCTCAGCCAGAAACTTGCCAAACTTATGCGAGCGAGTGGCTTAAAGCATTCCATCGGGGGATGGCCCACCTTTAGGGGATGTAAATAAGTGAATATATCATTGGCGCATGCCAGCACTATTATAATTCTAATGAGCTGCCATTTATATGAGAGCTAATTAGAAGGATTTTCAAGTGAATTCATCACGAAACAGAATATTTAAAACAAAAAATTAGTTGATTTGCCTTTGAAGCTTTGTAACGATGTAAAATATTTTCATTTCTAGCAAATATGACACGGTATTCATTTTAGACTTCAGGAAATATTTACCGGCATTTTTACAAGAGTAATTGACTTCATAATCAGCTAAAATCCTTAAAACCACTGCAAAAATAAAATTTTTAGTATTTTTTTTTAATTTCTAGCTATACATGTTGAATGCTTTTACTTTTAAATTTAATTATAAATCATGTTTCGAGCATGTAGGTAATAATTACAGCTCCCAACAATTCCTAGCTAAAATGAAAATTAAATTTCCATGAAACTGTCTATCATACGTCGATCTTCGTCATAACCGCATAATGCTTGGGACCTAGTGTAATGCACACTCATTTCGGCAGTTCGCTAGTTAGCGCCAACTACATTTACATTCGGGGTATAAAATTAAAGCGCCCCCGGAGCACCACTACACTACTTCAGCCGACAATCTCAAAGTATTTTTAATTAAAGCGGGCGCCAAATCAAAATGCGGGGCTGGTGGTGGACAAGCTAAATTATTGAATAACTTGTTTAGCGGACAACTCCATTTGACTGCAAACATAATTCCCATTTATATGTAGGTATAAAATTAACACAGCGTGCGCGCACACACCCTCGCACGCTTTATGAACCACGAGAGTTCGCGTGGTGCTGGTGGTGGTGAGTGAATTTAACCGCGGATTTAATATTATACCACAATGGCACATATAACCGTCACACATTCGCGCGTAATCCGACGCTTGCAATTCAAATTCGCGCACAAATAGATTCTGTAAAATATGAATAAAAAGCTGGATGACTTTCATGTTCGAGCGCATTATTTTTCGAGTGCCACGCGCCGTTGAGCATTTGCCGGATCACGCGGGGGCCGTGGATGCCTATTAGCGGCTTGTTTTTGTTGCGCGCGCCAGTTTTGATTTGTTTGGAGTGAAAATTTGTTTTAGACTAAAATAGCATTCAATCGGCGCGCCGAGCAGCTTCGGTAATCGGTTAAATCATTACCACGCCATCGTGTTCGATTCGTTACAACAACAGTAATTATCGAGGGTTATTTGAAAGGGTTTTCGCCGGGCTCGGCCCGTGCACACGCTCGCGCCTGGGTGTTAGTGTTTGTGATAGCATTGTATTGCATCCAGCGAGTGTTTGTGTGTAGCTGGCCAATGCCTACTGTTCCTAATTCTCTTTACCAAACAAATCAAATCACTTTTACACACGTTTCAATTCCGACTGATGGTGAAAAGCAACTTACAGACCCAAATTGACAGCGCAAACACATGCGATTTTAAACAACACGAAATGTTTAATAATAATTACGTTAATTTGCAACAATAACATACCCTGCGGTTGTTTGTAATCTGTCAAACTAAAAAATAAACTATAAAAATTGAAATGTTGCGAGCGTAGCGGAGTCAATCAATCAGAGAAATATGTTTACAAATAATTCCGGGGCGCAAATCGAAAAAAACTAAAATTTTAGGAAGTTGTTTGATGTGTGGCCCGAGAGCAAACAAGTCAAGTCGAGTAGACGTATATGGCAGACATTTTTCTATCAATCTACACGGCATCGATTCATATCAATACGTTTTCGGCGTCGGGGCGGCGGCGGCAGCGAATGATAAGACGAGCTACGTGCGTGTACGTAGCGCCGAAATGCACTCGCCGATATTCCAAGGCGGCGGCGTATTGATAGGGCACTTTGAACCCGCGCGCACAACTACTTCAGGCGGGCAGCAGCAGCAGCAGCAGAAGAAGAAAAAAATATCTCAACGCAAAGCCAGCGCGCGCGCGAGCGCAAACCGAAAAAAATGATATGATTTCTTGATATATCTGCTGTGGCGTGCTGTAGGTGATTTATGTCGGAATGTTTGCTTCATATATCAAAACAGGAATGACTTCGATTTAGTCATATACATATATTTCGAAAAGGTTTTCATTGCATGCGTCGGTTTTTTTTAAGTCTATTTGAATAACATACGCATTACTCTCGTGGACTTTCCATTTAAAGTAAGCAATTTGTTTAGATAGTAAAACTTTTTAACACGATAACAAGATAATAAACCCAGAAAAAAAATATGCAAGACAGGTTTTATGGTTTGGTGCAAATTTAAAACGCGCCGTCAAATATTTTCGTTTACCTGTGTGCGGAGCGAGAGTAAAAGAAAAGTTACAGTATAAATTTAAGCAAGCGTGTAAGAACTCTTTAGTCGACCGGGATGGGATGTGCTGATGTGCATCAACTCGACGAGAATGAATATTTGTATTAGGGATGTGGTACTCACTTATGTACATACATACATATGTATGTGGCAAACTCGGCGCAGTCGGTATTAAGACCCCAGCCGACATGCGGAGGTTTTTCGGCCCGTATGTGTGTAACAACTTGTAAAAGAGAAAATGCAGATGGATGTATACACAGGCAGCAGCGGCGGCACATAAAAAGGTTTTTTTTTCCGCCCCGCGCAGTGAGGACTCAGTTTTCGACGTCGCAGTAGATTGCAGGCGATGCGGGCGGTATGTAAATGAAATGCTTGGAAATATTCCAAAAATAGTAGCTGTCGAAGGACGGGCATTTTTGTAACAAATTTACTTCCTCACAGCGGCCGCCCAACGCGCAGTTTTGCATCAAATCGTATTATTTAAATTCGTTTAGCGTAAACTTTTATTTATGGGTTATGATTTCCTCTCCGCGTGTGTGTGTGTCGTCTTGTTGTTTATGAAAAACGTTTTTTAAATTCAATTTCGTGCACAACACATTTTTTATCGTCTCGGACCGCGCGGGTTCCTTAAACGAGAGCATTTACATTTTGATATTGTGCACGCGGGGCGACAGACACATGAAGTGCGCCCCGGGAGCAGATTAGGGTTACGATGTCCCGGCATTAACCAGCCTGTCGGTTTCGCCAACGACCACTCATTTGGGGCCCGCGCGCACGCATCTGATAAGCAAATGACGTTATTCGGAAAACGAGTGGTGTAATTAGCCCGGTCATTCCCATATTATCGTCGTGCACGCCGTGCTGCATATTAAAGCGCGCATGATTTACGCGCCCTTGAAGAAGATAAGTGCGTCAACAACTCCCGGCCACACCCAATTGCGAGAGGTCCAGATCGGAATTGAATGAGGGTCTCGCGCGTCGCTTCGTTAAAAACAAAACCCAAGCAATTGACCCCTGGCGCGCGCGGTGCGAGTAAAAACAACACCGCGGAACCGCCACTGCTACGATCACTTTGGGGAAAAATCCACTCGGTTACGCTTCCGCACCCACCCTGCCGCGCACAAGAAACCCTAATATGGTAATTACGGACTCTAATAATATCTACCCTCACCGAGAGAGGAGAGCAGAGATACTGGGCGTATGCTGTGCGGCGGATTTTTTATCTTTACGCAAATTACAGAAGCGCTCCTTTCAAATGCGAATGAGGCGTAACCAAGCTCCGAGATTTTTTCCCCTATCGCCTCCTCGGCATTATAGAAATTGTTTTATGAATTACGCCTGCTTCAAATTTTAATAACGCATTATTCACGATTGTATTAACACACTCCAAGCACCGCGATTTGCTTCACGATTGAATGGTTGCAAAGGATGCGCGCGTGTGTCCCAAATATCGGTGCGGCCCCGAAAACGACAAAAGCACCGCTCATATACATTCATATAGGATGGCGTCACACACCGGGAAGTTGCCGCCGTCGCCGCCGCCGCTACTGCCTCCCAGAGTGGGCGCAGTCAAAAATCATACATTATCTTTCTCCCGCATCGTTATAGAGGAGTATACTTTATCCTTAAACCCTTCGTAAACAAC